CTATCTGACGACTGGTTATATTAAAACCACGTCGTTACAGAACATATCGCCGCGTCCGATCATGCTCTATCTGACGACTGGTTATATTAAAACCACGTCGTTACAGAACATATCGCCGCGTCCGATCATGCTCCATCTGACGACTGGTTATATTAAAACCACGTCGTTACAGAACATATCGCCGCATCCGATCATGCTCTATCTGACGACTAGTTATATTAAAACCACGTCGTTACAGAACATATCGCCGCGTCCGATCATGCTCTATCTGACGACTAGTTATATTAAAACCACGTCGTTACAGAACGTGTCGCCGCGTCCGATCATGCTCTATCTGACGACTGGTTATATTAAAACCACGTCGTTACAGAACATATCGCCGCGTCCGATCATGCTCTATCTGACGACTGTTCTCTTTGACAATAGCCCTGTTGCTCAGTTCAATTCCAAAGAGCTTCTTCGTAACGCTGTCATGACAAAACACACCAATTCTCTTTCTGCGGGCTTTTCATAGTCCATTTAGTGTACGAGGACGACAATTTCACAGCGTACGTTTCAACAATCCTATCCTATAGAAATCTAAATGCGCTACGTTTGGCAACTTGACTGTTATGAAAAGGGATTAGTACCATATCATTTCCCATATTCTTGAGGTATTCCACTGTTAAACGGATATGTCGAGGAAGCAACTTGTGTATATGTGTTGCTCTTACAGATGGATTTGTTTGTTTGTTTGAAGTTAAGCCCAAAGCTACGCGAAGGGCTATCTGTGCTCTGCCCACCAGGGGTATCGAAACCCGGATTCTAGCGTTGTAAGTCCGCAGACATACCGCTGTGCCACTTGGGGGGGGGGGTGCTTACAGATGGAGAATTCTTCTTGAGTAAGTTACATACTGTTGCTTGGGGCACGTGGACAACTTTGGCCACTGGTTTTTGTGTTCGTCAAATCTCACGTGTTACAAGATGCTACACTTTAATTTTCAGATGGGGTGCGAAGTGTTGTGATCTCTTTCCGAATGGTCCTGGTACCAATTTGATACATACTCTTTTGTTTCCTAATACCATTAAGTACAAGGCTATGCCCGACCTGAACATATCTATAAGAAAAGTTCTACTACATATCTTTTTTAAACACAGTAATTTTCATACTCCCTATAAAACGTCAAATAGTCAAAATATGCTACTAATACACGCTATTCCACGACGACTTTACATCGACTGTGGTTTTTACGTGGCTTGGTGATTTGAAAATTCAGAATCGTTTTATGATAACGCATTCCACACTCTGTATTTTACTGTATGACGCGGGAAATTGCTAATAAAATACCGTGTAGTTGCGCTATGTTTTAATTTTTGTATTGAATTTTTCAACACTATTTTGATATTATTCTAAGACTTCTGTCTTTTTTTTTTGCTTCTCCATTGTAAAACATAACTTTTAATTAGTTAAATATAGAAGTTAATTAACAAATTAATCCAAACGTTTCACCTTCTCACTAAAACTAGTCAAAGTAAGTTTTAATCTGATAAAAATTCGTAGAATGTGGCCATTCGTCTAATTAATGATAACAGCGATTTCTTTAAAAGCAGGATATAGTTAATATGCCACGTGAGGAACGTATTATCCGTAATTTATATATGGTTAGCAAAAAACAGCCATAGACTTTTAAATTAACTCCAATAGATGGAGGTTTTTAGAACATGCCCTAAGTGCACATGAAAGTTTACTCCTGGTTTTTTCCTATGTGGAAAACTCAGCTTTTGAAATCCAAAACATTTTCTCCTAGATTTAAAGCAGTAGTTAATTAATTAAGGTTTTTTTTTGTTTTAAGAATTTAATAATGTAGCATAACATATAATATAATGCAATTTATATATATATTTGACGTTACATAATAGAACGTTCGTAGTTCACCCTTGACAATGATAATATAATTAATCAATAATTATATAATTCAGTGTACTTCTGAATGTGGTATTCCTTAGGATAAAGACAGAAATAATTTAGACTTCTGAGAAAGATGAAAGTGAATTAAAATACGTTCGAAAAATAAAATGTATTTAATTTTATATTTGAATTCATTGAACAGTTAATAAGAGCCATAATTAAAATTATGAGCAGAAATGAGAATCATTGCTCTGATTCAATTTTTGATTAATTTGTTTGTTTTATTTTGGGCAAACCTACTCGAGGGCCATCTGTACTAGCCATCCCTAATTTTGAAGCGATGAATTAGTGGTAAAGCACCTAGTCAACACCACCCACCATCAACTCTTGGGTTACTCTTGTTTCAATGAGTATTGGAATTTAATTGTCGTGCTGGTTTCAACGAGACTTATCTGTCATGCTTTGTCCATTTTAGATAGAAATGAAATATAAAATAAATGTGTTTTTCTCTATTTCTAATATTCATTACACTTACAAAATATTATTGGGTTATTTTGATCCCTTAGAAAAACTTGTGAAATACATAAATAACATTATCTAAAATTGTAGAAACAGGAAAAATATAGAACATTCCAAAGGTATGTTTATCAATTGCATAAATATACTTGAAGAATGATTCAAGGCGTTTTAGAAAGAAACTCAATTTAAATTACACCAAGTAATTAAGTATCAATTAGTTATCATCTCCAACATTGTTTGAACAGTGTATAATTATTAGTTTGTCCGCCAAGCGAAATGCAAAACGTACAGCTTTATTTATCCTTGCTCATAGAAATGATTTTAATCCTACAAGCTCAAAAACATTAGCGGAAACATCTATCGTTTGGACATAATGTGGTATATTAATAGTTCAATGTTTAATAATCCTAGAGCCGATAATTATTTTAATAATCACAATTACATAAACAATTACCATCTAGACAAGTGATTAAGTGTTTGGCTTCGTACATCATTATTATGACTTTCAGTATCTCGAATTTATTTGATGAAATTACTTTTTGATCTATTAGTTTAAGCTGAAATTCAAAATCCATAAAACGTAACAGATACACATTGATAACACTAATTATCTTTGGGATAATATAATTTTATCTAATTTGTCGAGCTTCTTTCAGGAAAAAACTATAAAAAACAACTTAAAATTAAACAGAAATCCTTATTTTGAGCCTCACTACTTTTGCTAGCTACTTTTAATTCTATATCTTTCATATCTTAAATGGGACATTCCGAATCGACGTCACACATGCTTTATATATTTTTTTCATATATTTCGCCCTTTTCTAGAAATTTGGTTAGAAATAAGTGAGTTTCAATTATCAAATCAGCAAATGTAGGGGAGACCAAGCCACTGACGTATATTTTAAGCCTAAATACATCTTGCTACATCCACCTGCACGCTGACAGCGAAAGAACCAATTCGGAACGATTATACGTTATATATTACATCATTCGAAACCCCAAAATATTTTTTCACACTTTTTTATATCGATCGAAAGTATTGTGATTTCCTGTTTCACAATGTCTATCAAGACTGTCTAGTTAAGTAAAACATATATGTATATCTTAATCTAAAGTACAT